AGAGCGGCACCCGGATCCTGGCACCCAAACAACCGTTTGGTAATTGCATGTTTCCAGACAGACATAAATAGACAGATTAGCCTTTCTGCATTTTTCTCATAAAAATAACAACAGTTCCTAAGCACACTGGCATGAGCATGGACATTAAGCATTGCAACCTGCTGTTCTTGGCAGCCAAGGGCTGGCCTTTCTTGCTGTTTCTCCCATTGCCTCCTCCTCTGGGCTCTTGGAGGGCTCCTCATGCCTGGCTCTGTCCACCCCTATCACCCCAGAGCAGGTTGGCAGCCAAGCCCTGAGCCTGGCTGAGGGCTTTTATGAGCATCATGTCCATAGCTGGCTGTTCTCCTGGCTGGCTCTTTATCTACTTTTAGTCATTATGTAACTAAAAATCTTGTGCACACGGTGAAGTGATTGTATGCCCCATTCTGTACGAGAGGAAATAGGGAGAATGTTTGCTTTATCTCTGCCCTAATCCAGAAGGGCAGTCTCACTGGTGAGTCCCCTTGCTTTATACACACACCTAATGTAATCTCCCTCCCTCACTTTCTCCTCCCACTTCTCTTCCTCCTCCTCTTCCTTCTTCTCCTTCTCCTCCCTGCCTTCTTTTCTTCTTCTGCTCCTTCTCTCTCATGCTTTTCTACTTGTCCTTGGCCAAGGACCAAGACACCATTCTGCTGTCTTCTCTTTGTCGTCTACTCTTCCCATGTGATCTTGCCCCTTCTCAGGCGTCAGGGTTCAAAAATCAAAGCCTGAAATATTGATTGCCAGGGACTTATTTCTAAGTCAGTGAATTCTCTAAGCTGAAAGAAGTTCTAGCCTCTACTTCCTGGTATATTCAGATTAGTCAGGTCTCTGGCCACAAGGTCAAGGGTCTAGAACTAGCATCGGATGGCCATGGCTCCCTCTGGAGGACAAAAAGTAACTAGAACTTCTTGCAGGCCATAAACTGATGATTTTCTCTTTCATGTGATCCTATTTCTCCTTGCAGCCTTGTTCTGTGTCCAGACACAGAACAAGATGTGGAAGCTTGTATCAGGCTACATGTTACTCACCCAGTCAGCTTTGTGGGGCATCTCTCAGGGGAATCATACCAGCAAATGAAAAAGAAAAGGGATTTGAAGTCAGAAGCTTTAGGTTCATATCCTAGCTCTACCTCTTATCAGCTGGGAGTGTTGGGCAAATGTTGGGCAACTAATATTCCATTGTGTAAATTTAGGCACATAAAGCTTTCTTGTTCTTTTTTGTTTGGCTGGGTTTTGCCATAGAGTACACATGCTTGCCAGAAAGACAGAGAGAGAGGGAGAAATCACCCTCTCTGGGGGGATGGCCAGGCCGCAATACCTTCCCTCCAGTCTCTTCTGGAGATTTTGAGCAAGGATGCACATATCCCTGGCATGATTTTCAAGCCACCAGGTCCGGGATTCAAACCATGGTCAGCCATGTAGGAGTCCAACGCCTTAATCACCATGCCACCTGCCGGTCCCACTTTCTTGTTCTTTGTAGAGCTACATAATATTCCATTGTATAAATGTAATACTATTTTTAAAATAAAGAAATAAATAATCTTCAACAGGTTTATATTTAGGCTATTTAATGCGTTGACTGTCACCATCAATGCTGCAGTGAATTACCTTATAAAAATGTAATTTAATATATGTGAAACTCTCTCTGCAGGATAAATTTGTAAAACTAAGATTGCTATGTCAAAGGATGTGTGCATTTTAATTTTGATAAACGTCAAATTGCCCTCTGTAGAGGTCAAGCCCATTTACACTTCCACTAGGAAGGTATGTGGAAACGTTTCCCACACTCTGGAAAGCACAGTTTGTAATAAAATATTTAATCATTGCCAAATGTTAGTGAAAAATAGTGTTTCGATATAATTCACATACTCTTGCTTTTAGTGGGTGAGAGAATCTTTCCATATTTTTGACCATGTGTATTTCCTTTCTATCTGTTCATAATACTTGGCCATTGATTTATTGAGCTATTGGGTTGTCAGTATGTTGAGAGCTTTTATCCTAAAGCTTCAGAAGGTCCTCAAACCCACAAAAATTGAGTACAAATGTTGTGTAAGTATGCATTCATTTTTCTTGAAAACACGTTCATTGCTTTGATCAGATTCTCAAAGGGGTCCATGACCTTTAGAAATTAACAAATGGGGACCAACAGTTAGCATAATGGCTATGTTGCTGGACTCCCATGTAGTCGACCACAGTTCGCATCCTGGACCCGGTGGCTTAAAACTCATGCCAGGCGTGTGTGCGTGCGTGCCCAAGATCCTGAGAGGAGAATGGAGGAGAAGGGATTGTGGCATGGCCATCGCCACTGGGGGATGATTTCTCACTTTCTGTCTGTCTCTCTCTGTCTGTCTGGTGAGTGCAGGTGCCCTATAGCAAAACTTCTAAAAAAAAAAGAAGAAGAAAAAGAAAAAAGAAATTAACAAGTGGATGAAATGGCCACAAAGAAATATTCAACAGTTAACAATGATTCTTGTGATCTCTGAGTGCAACAAAGTTTAGGTCCTGTACCCAGTACTGGCACAAATCCTCCGAAGGGTCACGGGATCCTCTGCAGGATTAGCTTTGTAAACCCAAATGAGTTGTCCACACATGTCCCACCTGCAGTTAAGGTGTAATATTCATAGGTGGGAGAGTGGTGTCATTATCATTTGTAAAACTGTAATTCCCACAACTCTAGAAATTGAGAGATGATGACTCTCCGTGTGTAACACCCTAGTTCTAGTGTTCACCAGATCTGAAATTCTGTTTCTATTACACAGATCAACTATTGGCTCTAAATTTTTCACCCCTGGGGACACCATGATAAATTAGGCAACATAGGTATCATGGTGAATGTAAGATTCTGGGAGCCACTATAGTCCTTTCATTTCAGTGGCCACAGTCATCTGGTTTTTGGAGGTTAAATACTCTTTGGCATTTGTTGTATGGAATCCCATTATCTCCAGTGAAGTCAATAGAACCTTTGCAATGGAGTTCTCTGCCCCATCAGCCCCTGCCTGCAGAGAGCAACCCTTACAAAGTTTCTTAAGAATACCAGCATGTCTCTTATCAAGGTATTTCTCAACAACATTGCAAATTAAGGTTATGTCTGGGTGACCCCCCCCCCATCAGGGGATGGGTAAGCAGGTCGCATGTGACAAATTCACTCTTACATTCCTATGTCTTTAAACCTTTACCAAGGAAGTTCTGACATATCCATTTCACTTTAGGTCAGGCTACCATTGAGTCCATTTTTAAGTTAAAAAAAGGGGGGTGAGGGGGGAGAAAACTGCTGGAGCCATTCCAAGCTGCTCAACTAACAGATTAAATCAAGAACCTCTGGTAAGTACATATATCTTGATAAATTTGGCCCAATCCAGCATTACATAGCTTCCCCTCTAGTCTGTCATCATGTAATTCTTCTGGTATGTATGCTTTCTCCTCCTGGGTCACACTTTGTTCTCTTTCCTTTTGGGCAAGCTAGGATCTGACTTAGTTACAGATCTGGAGGCAATGTGGAGCTATGAGGGGAGGTGAAAATACGTCTTCAGGAAATTCAGTATCTCCTTACAAGGTTCTCAATCAAGTGAAAATTAGTTCCCTCAGAGAGCAGTAGAGAAGGTTGTTTCTAATGACAAAGCAGGGACAGAGAGATTTGGGGAGAGGGGTTAAGCTACTCCGATTCAGCTGAATCTACCCAAATGTTCCCATACCAATTCTACACATCTTACTCTTCCTTAAACAATGTCCTCACTTTCACATGAGTCTTGGTACAGCTGTGAATCATATTATGCTAATACCCACAACTTCATGAGCAACCTTTATGACACAATTATCTACAAGGTAGTTAAGAGGCAACTCATTCAAGCGGTTATAGAAACACTCTGATTCTCTAACCATGACTGTACCCTGAGATGATTTCTTCCTTTCTTTTCAGGGCAACCAGATATGGCCAGCCCATCTCACACCCTTGCAATCCTCACATTCCATATGTTCACCATGACATTCTACAGAAGTAGCCAAGTGGGGTGGTTTCTGCCAACACCTTACAGTTTGTAGGAACTTTATTCCAGGCAACTTCAACAATTTTTTAATACTTCTTTGCCACTGCAGACCATAAATTATCAGCATTCTATTTTCTATTACAGAAAGCCATCACTGCTAGCTCCAAACCTAACCTGTGTGATAATCAACTCATCTCATCTTTGGAGGCCTGTTTTCTGGAAGTACTTGTAATGCTAAATGCTGAACTAGTCAGAAGACAGCCAAGAAAAAAGAAATCACTCCAAGTATATCAAGTACGAGTTGTTTTATACAAAAATGTAGATATTTACGAAACTGTTAGGAGCCAGTCAGTGGCAAGGTCATCAAGGTGGCTTGACCTTACATGACCAACTGCACAGTTTGAGATCTGAATCGGGCAGCTTGGAAAATATGCCAGGCACGTGTGCATGCCTAAGTGCCCAAAATCCCTAGAAGAAAATGAAGGAGAGGAAATTGTGGTCATTCTCCCCCCTGAGGAGTGCTTTTTCACTTCCCCTCTCTTTCTCTAGCTCTGGCAAACACATGCACCCTATAGCAAAATCTAAATAAATAAATAAATAAAAATGAATAAATAATAATAATTTTTTTAAAAAAAATATTAAAAGGGTTGCAAAAAATAAGATCAGGGAAGACCACCATCAGCTCTTAGGAAAACTTGAAGGATAATCACAGCAGGAAAATAGATTGCTATAAAATATCTCTTTTAGGCCAGCAAGTGGCATGGAGGTTAAGTTGACTGCATCCCACATGGTCGACTGTGAAGTTTGAGTCTCGGACCCAGCAGCTTGAAAATCACACTGGGCATGTAGGCGTATGTGCCCAAAATCCTGAGAGGAGACTGGAGAAGGGATTGCCACCTGGCCATCCTCTCTAAGGGGTGATTTCTCACTTTCTCTTCTCTGTGTGTCTGTCTCTAGTGAACACACACACCCTATAGTAAAAGTAAAAAAAATAAAAATAAAAAACACACGCAAATAACTCTCTCTCCTACCTAGGCTCAATGAAGAAAAGATAACTAAATTTTCCATTTTATCTTATAATTTTTCTGCTGGCAAATTAATAATAAAATAAATCTGGACAAAAATACTAAGGTTACTTTAATATTGCATGCTTGACAGGATAGCATTGCATATTTTAGGGAAGCAAATGACACCCCCCCCCCAAGTCATCCTTGGCCTTGACACCTATATAGGTCAGGTTCTCCAAAGAAACAGAATGTGTGTGTATATATATATATACATACAGAGAGAGATTTCACTATTTTAAATTGACACATGTAATGTGCAATGATTGAATCAGGGTCATTAGAATATCCACCATCTCAAATATCATCATACTTTGTGACAGTGGGAATATTTAAAATTCTCTTTCAGCTAGTTTGAAACAGGTAATAAATTATTGTTAATTACTCTACCGTGCTACAGAACACTAGGACTTATTCATCTTATCTAACTGTAGAGACATTTGTTTCTACACTAAAGCGATTGTACAGGCTTAACAAGACCGAAATCTGCAGAGTACACGGGCAGCTGGAGCCCCGGGGATGAGTTGCAGTTCAAGTCCAAAAGCTGTCTGCTACAAAATTCTCTCACTTCAAGGTGAGCCTTTGCTCTCTAGGTCTTCAACTAATTGCGTGAATCCCACCCACATCAGCAAAGTAATCTGCTTTATTCCAAGCCTGCTAATTTTAATCTTCATCTCACCTTTTTAAAAATACCTTCACATAAGCATCTAGAATAATGCCTGACCAAATATTTGGGCACTGTGGCCCAGCCAATTTGGCACACAAAATTAACTATCACAACATCTCCTCCAAGAAGCCCTTTGTAGGTGCCAACACTCTGAAGATCCTCAGACGATATCCTCCCTCCCTTGCAACATCTCCATGCCTCCTGGGTGTTAGAGTATTTGACAAACATGTCAGTGTCACCTACTAGACTTTGCACACTTCAAAGACAGAATCACTTCTGATTTATCTTTGCAGCGCGCTGGTGGGCCGAAGCTGGCAGAGATGGCTTCGTAAATGTGGAACGATAGAAGGAACAATCTTGCAGGGGCTGAGAGGATTCACAGCTCAGTGGCTGATCCCAGCTTCTCTTTCTTGACAGGGTCTTACTCCTGTCAAAACATCCTGCTTCTCTCAAAACATCTTGTCGATAAACATCTGAATTTACAAAGCGGAGTTTTAAGGCAGGTCTAGCACGATTCCTTCATGGGAGGATGAGGCACGCATAAGACCATGTGAGGATTATAGCACTCCTACCTTATTTAATGCCAAATTGACCCTCCACATAGTGCCTTAAAAAACCTCTGAGGGTCTTTCTACTGATCATCTCTCTGTGAGTAACAGTGAGGGAAGCACTTGAGGTATCCTGGCTAAAACACATCTCATAGTCAGGGTCTGGACACCAGAGTGAGAGAGTCTCCTTGCTTCTTATTCTGGTCCAGGTTCTGAGGCTGAAAACTAATTTCTTCCTGCATATCAGACCTGAAAACCCTGCTGACTGACACATCTGACTCCTGACCCTTCCCTTGTTGTCAGAGACAGCCCATTCACTGAGGGGCTCCTGCAGTTCCCAGCCTTGTCAGGTCATGACATGCTTTCCCAGACACAGTGAATGGTGCCAGCTGGTCCCGCTGCGAGCCCTGCTTTCACATGCCCCAATTCTCAGACAGACTTGGGGGGAGGAGTGAAGTGTGGGCATGAAATAGATAGCAATGTGGCTGTTAGCCAGGGGACCTCAGAGCCCAACGCACCCCTTCTGGAGGTGAAGACAGACCTGGCATTATGTCAGAGGAGGACTGATTCCCCCCAGCAAAGTCCAGACCTCATGGGAACCTTAGAAGCCTCCAGGTTCAAGGGTTACTTAACAGGTATTGGGTGTAGGACCAAAGATCCACAGGCCAGGAAGGAAGAAAGGAAAGGAAGCCTGGGTTAAAGGATAGTTTGAAGGGGAACACCACCTACCTACCACTCAGCTTTCTGAATTCTTTGATAATGGAAGGGACAAGCACTGCTCCTTGCAGTGCAGGTTTGGGAATGAGATTGGCTGAGTTCCCAGCAGGGTCCTTCTGTGTCGGATCCATGTCACAGTGGAGGAGGGAAGATGGAGGACAGGCTGTCCTCTGGTGATTAAATGGTGCCTAGATTTCTATCTCACAGATCAGGGCTCTAACTCACCTGCACACTGAGTGCAAGTCTTTGGAGAACTGCTCCCTCTCATCCTTCGCCCCATTCCCCTCAACAGCACAGATGAGCCTTAAGCCAGCACTCACATTTCTCTGTCCACAGCCCTTGGATTGACCAGAAAAGGTTCCCAAAGTGAAAATATTTCTCTTCATTGGCTGAAAGTTAACAAAAGACGAAATTTTAGGATCCTGAAACCTAGATTGCGTCTCACGTGGGTCAACTACTTTCCTCGATGGTATTTTACCTCTGCATTTTTCTCTGACCCAGTGAAGAAGACCTACACATTTTCTTCCCCACCCACCCCATGAATGGGACCAGCTACCAGCTGAGTGCTTGGTGAAGCTCAGGAAAGGAGGAAAGCGAGCCTGCCATAGACAGATGGATGGAGGGCCCTTCATGACCTCTACAGACCCTGCCTTGTTCTGAACAGGGTTGCCCAACCTTTGCTTTGCAGAGAAATTACCAGTAAGCTTGGAGTGTCACAAACAGCTCTGGAGAACTCCATTTCACTCCTTCGCCACTAGTCTCCAGGAGGCTGGCTCCCCTAGTGGCTCATTGTTTCTGGTTTTCTTGAAACAAAAATAGACCCTTGCAAACATTCCAATATTTGGGTCATCAGTTCACAGGCTCTGTCCAGCCCTGGCTGAGGTTCCTTCCTCTGAGCTCACTCAGAGCACTGCGGCTGCCTCAGGCACAGCAGGTTTAATGGACATTGTGGCCTAGTCAACACATGTTCTTCCCTCAAGCTGTTTAGATGATCCTTGGATACGAAGCCATTCAGAGACAGTGATGCCAAGCAGACGCCTTAAACAATGGCCAAGACGTGATCCATGGGGCAATCCTCTCTCTCTCGAGGAATGATTCAATTACCACTCAGGAGAGTCACCACCCTTTTCTGAGCTCCTAGAGCATGCTATGTGGACAAATTCTTCCTCCACTAAACCCATTCTATGCTGGGACTATTCATATTTCTTGGCCTTGGCAGGGAAGCTTCTGCAGGATAGAAGACAGAGCTAATTCTAAGAACTTTGCAGCAAATATAACCAACCCCTTACCTATATAGTTTTTATTAAAAGAGCCCTCATGATAATGAAGTATGTGTGCATACATACATTTCTGTAAGAATTTTGTGAAGGATATGCCTGTATGCTGCAGATTTTCTAAAACCCGTGTCCAATTAGACCACATCACCCACAGCTATTTGTCCAGGCCACTTTGCTCTATCACCTCCCATTATTTTTTCCAGAATCCTACGTTGCCATTAGGTCCTGTTGATAACTTTTAGTTTAAGAAACACTTTGGGCTGGCAGGTGGCATGGTGGTTTAGGACACTGAACTCCCATGGCCAACCATGGTTCAAGTCTCAGATCTGGTAGCTTGCTTGCTCGCTTGCTCGCTCGCTCTCTCTCTCTCTCTCTCTCTCTCTCTTTCCCGCACTCTCTCTCACTCTGGTCAAAAATAAATAAATAAAGTTAAATAAAGTAATTCTTTAAAAAATTATTTAAAAAAAAAAAACACTCATATTCACTTAAGGGAAGTTGTTCAGGATTTGACACAGTGTCCCATTCCTGTTGAAGGTTTATCCTAAAAATCTTGTTTGTTATCTTATGGGTGCTATTACTAGTCAAATTTCCCTATTTACTTTGACCACTAAGAAGATTATAGACTGGGACAAGCAGATGGCATAATGGTTACATTTCTGGACTTCCACATAGTCAACCACGGTTCAAGTCTCAGACCTGGAGCTTAAAGCTCACACCAGGCACATGTGGGTGCATGCTCAAAATCCCAAGAGGGGAATGAAGAAGAAACTATTGCAGCATGTCCATCCCCCCACCCCTGGGGCATTGTGACTTCTTGTCTTCTTTCTGCCTCTCTCTGCATCTCCTGAGAGTGCACATCCCCTTTAAGGAAAAAAAATAAAATAAAAGATTGTAGACTAAATGCCAGCCCACACTGAGAAATACACAAGAATGTATTCTGAAGACTTACCTTACCTCTGACATTATTTTACTTTCATAGCTCTATTTTTCCCTTTGAACCGATTCTCTTTTTATTCTATCTTACTGTTCATAGACTGTCCCAAGTTCTTCTGGAACAAATCAAGGTCTAAATTAACTAATCAATAGGTTCACTTATGTAATAGCATTGTCAATCAGGGTAGGTTAAGCTTGGCATTAAGTAAATAATGCCAAAATCTCAGTGGTCTCACAGTACAGCAATCTCTGTAGGGATGTATTTATCACACACCAGCATTTCTTCCTCATACAGCATCACAAGGAGCTGGGCTCCAACCACTCACAGTTGCAACCTGCTGGAAGCCTCTATGTGATCTGTGCTCCCAGGACTGCTGCAGCAGGGAGCAGATTGTGCACTGGCTCTCAGAAACATCACACATGACTTCTGCTCACCTTTCATTAGCCAAGGTTAGTCACATGGCCATGGCTAATAGGAAGAGCAGAGAAGGGGACAGGAGGGCAGTGCAGTGGTAAAGTGCCACACTCTGGGAGGCATTCCCACAGGGGAAGACTCCTAGTTCATGGCCAGAGGTGCATGTGCTTGCCCATTATCCAGAGCTATCTGCTGCTGCGGTCCCTGTTGGAAAGGTCACTCTCCCTGTTCCTTTATCTCTCTTGCTCATAGAGGAAATAAGGAAATAAGCTTTAAAATAATAATAATAAAATATCAGGGAAATACAAAACTTCATTAGCCTGAAAATGAGACACTAGAGTGCTCACGAATTCTGCTAATGGCAGACAAAATAGCAAGGGCAACTATACGATGTACCATTCGAATTGGGACACTTTTGAGAGTGGAAGTAAGATCTAAATGTAATAAAAGTCATATCACTTTTATAATATTTATGTATTGACTAACAAATTGATTTTATTTTATTGACGGACTACAAAATTTTCCTACCCAAAAACTAATTTCAAAAATAAAATTATTTCCAAAATTACAATATATATTTGTGTACATAAAATTTTCAATTTTTATTTAAAGCAATAATATGAACATTTAAATAGAGATCTAAGTATTCATTCCTGGTGTATTTTCACATATTTTAATCAGTTTCCTAAACATATCACTCTAATATTTTATAATTGAAATTTTCTATTTTAATATTTTTTAAATTTTATACATTCAATCACTATACATCACTATAGTTTGTAAAATGAATTTACCCAACATAAATATGCTTCACACCAGTCCAGCTGAAGATACCATACATGCTATCAACAGATAATCACCCATTTCTGAGGAATGTAATTTTCTTAAAAACTGATCTTATCATTTCAGAATTTTCTTTTTTATGTTGAGGGGTGCCTTAGGACACATGCACTCATTGGAGGGAGAGACAGAGACAGTGAGAGAAAAAATGAGAAATCATCCCTGGGGGCAGAGAAGATCATGCCACAATCCCTTTTACTCCATTCTCTTCCCAGAATCTTGGGCACACACACATGTGCCCAGCATGAGTTTGTTTTTTTTTTTCACTCACTCTTCCAAGCAGTTTATTTATTTCAACTCATGTAATCCTTGCAAATTATCACCTCCACTTTGCAGACCACAAAAAGGAGGGACAGAGAGATTGATAAATGTCCCCAAGGACATCTAAGCAGAAGCAGTAGGATTCAAACTTAGTCTGATTCCAGAATTCAAGAACTTAACTTCTATGTAACAATGCTTTTCAACCTTTCAAGAGTTTTCCCAGGGAGACAGGGGCAGTATTGTCTTTTAGGAATTGTTCAAGGAGTGACCTATTAGTGTAAATCAGCATAAGTTTTAATCCACCAGGTCCAGAACTCGAACTGCAGTAAGCCATGTGGGAGCCCAGCATTGTAATCACTAGGCCATCTGCTGGCCCCTGGTGTTCAACTTCTTAACAAGGTAAAATTGTATTTGTTTCAACCATTTTACTTTTGACAGAATGAATTAACAAAACGTTATTTTGATTTGATAAATTGGATGAAAAATTGGAGCAGTATTTTAACATTAACTTAATGGATATTCTATTGTAAGCATCTATGACAGTGATGTAAGGCCTCATCTTCCAGGAGTTCTATTTGGAACATCAGAATGAAGAAGGTCTCTATGCTGCTAATAATGGACCATCACATCCATTGCTATCACCCGGCTTTCCATACATGTCCAGGAAAACTTGGAACTGAAAGTGAGTGAGATTAACACAGACCAGTCATTCAGCCTAAATGAGTCATTAAATAATATGCAAACACACCTTGTACAGCTATTCATTCTAATCACCTTTGGACACACACTTAAAATAACCATGAATTTTTGAAATGCTAATGTCTCTGCAATAGATTTGTGTTCCTGGTTTCCATGGCATCAGTGGTATTGTATGGTATCAACAAACACTTTTCCAAGTTAACATTAATCATAACTTTCTTGAAAGACAAAAAAAATCAGTATTTATCTTTTGTATTACTCATGCACTTGGGGTTGTTAAACTCATTGTCACAAAGTATGATACATTTTTTTGATTAGCAAACAATAAAGTAAAAATAAGTTAAAAATTGACACCAAAAATAAATTACAAAATCATTCTTAAACACATATCCATAGTTCTTTTTACATAGTGTTCATCAACACTGCTCAGCCTCTATTTCCTACACATTTAACACATACCTAACAGAATTCTCCCCATTTTTCTAGTGGCCCAACTGCAAATGAATTTTTTTATATTACCACTCAAGACCAGGAATCCAATTGTACTTTGTTGTATCAGCATGTAAGAATATCCCACATACTGTCCTAAAACATAGATGTTCTATATGTTCTATCTGGAAAGGTAACTGGGTAAATAAAACGGTAGTCTAGCAAGAAGACTATTTTATGTGAACTTGAACATTATTAACTCTAAGTATAAATAAGCTAAAAATAAGCATGCTTGGCCATAGAACAACCACCAAAATAAAAATGCAAAAGATAGAGCTAAAAACTCAATCAAAACCAAAAAAATCAAAATGGAGCAAAAAAATAAAAAATTCAATTAGCTCAAGCAAACGAAGAAAAGGAGAAAGAGCAGGATATAAAACAGGTGTCACAAATACAAAATAAATGGCATGCTAGCAGACCTAAATCCAACCATAGCAATAACTATGTCAAATGTAATAGTACTCAACACTGCAATCAAAAGAACAAAATTACCAGAACAAACTAAAAAAAAAAAAAGTAAGCTTCAACTATATGCTATTTACTTGACAAGCATAAAGACAAAAATAGGTTGGAATAAAAGGAAAATAAAATCTATGTGAACATATATCTTTAAAAACCTAAAGTGGCTAGTTCTTATCAGATAAAATAGACTTTGAGACAAAGAGTATCAGCAGAAATAAGAAGAGATGTTTTATAATGACAAAGGATTCATTTCCATATAATAATCCTAACGGTGCCTATAAAAAGCAACACAAATATAAAAGCTCTGAGTGATACTATCAAAGACCTTGACCAATTGACACAGAACACTATACCCACCAACCCTAGCCTACATTACTCTTTTAAATGTATATAGAAAAAAATAAAAAAGAATGAATGTATATAAAGTATTAACCATTATAGTGGGCCATAACAGTCTAAATAAATAAATTTCAAAATATTAAAACATTGCACTGTCCACAACAAAATTAAATTAGAAAGCAATAATTAAGTAGAAGGTAGAAAAGATCTCAAATTTAGGTCATTGGTAAAGTCATAACGTATTTTTCTGTTTTTCTATGAAAAAAAGCGTCATGGCTTTCCTGATGACCCATGACTTTCCTGATGACCTAATACTTGAAAACAAATGCTAAATAAGTTTTTAAGAACTCAAAAAGGGAATTAGAAAACATTTTATACTGACTAAATATTAAAACAGGGCCAGCCCTATAGCACAGTGGCTGAGGGAGCCAGATCTCACATGGCCAACAGCAGTTCAAATCCCAGCTCCAGTATCTTAGAAAACATGCTGGGTACATGTACATGCGTGACCAAAATCCTGATGGGAAGAAATCATGAAGGAAAAAGGATTGAGGCATAACCATACCCATGGGGGGTGGGGGGAGAAATGTACCTTCTCTCTCTTTCTCTCGCTCTCTCTCGCTCCTGCTCTCGCTCTCTCTGGTAAATGCACATAATCTCTGGCAATTAAAGAAAGGAAAATGAAAGCACAATATATCGAATTTTATGAGATGCAGTTAACGAGTGCTTAGAGAAAATTTCACAGCTTTGTATGCTTATAACTAGAAAGGAAGAAAGATAAAGAATCAGTGATTTTACTTTAAAGTAGAAAAAGAAGAGCAAATTGAACCCAAGTAAGAAGGATGGAAATAAAAACAAAAGTAAGAACAGAACCAACCATATAAAAATTTTTAAATACCAAAAGTTGATCTTTGAAAAGATTAATAGAATGCATAAACCTCTCAGAGGAAGAATAAAAGAGAAAAAGAGGAAATACAAATTACCAAGTAACGTATGATATAGAGGATATCACCACAGATCCTACAGACAAAAGGATAATAATGAAATTATTATTATAATGGTTTATAGTGGAATTATTAGCACAATGGTTTGCTAATAACTTTACTAATTTCGATGAAATGGGGCTCAGAAAATATATATATATTTAACAGACACTAGAATGAAAAGTAATCTGTTCAGAATGATGCATATGGTAATATTTTTGACTGATGAACCTGCAATGCATGTACACTTTGGAAAACCATATTGTATGCTGCAAAAATGCCCAATGATTAAATGTAAAAATATAAAATAAAATAGAGGACCAGCAGACAGTGTAATTGTAACATCACTGAACTCCCACATAACCAACTGTGGTTCAAGTCCCAGACCCAGTGGCTTGAAACTCACACTAGGTACATGTGTGTGCATGCCCAAAATCCCAAAAGGAGAATGGAGAAGAGATTGAGTCATGGCCATACCCCCAGGAGATGATTTCTCACTTTCTGTTTCTCTGTTTCTGTCTCTCCAGCAAGTTCATGTGCTAAACAAAAAAAGAAAGAAAAACTCCAATTATGTTCCCGTTGAATGATATTAAATATTTAAGCAATAAATAACATTAATCAATAAATCATATGTATTCATTAATAACATTCTACTAAGTTTATCATGCCCTGTTATATCCTAACCTGGAACAAAAAAATTTTCCATGAACACTAATGTAAATATCCTTAACAAAATATTAGCAGTGAGAATCCATCAATATATGAAAAGGATAATTCATTTTGAATGAGTGACTTATTTTTGAAATGCATGATTGATATGGTATTCAAAAATCAAAGACATATATGAAAAACCCGTAGCTAGCATCATACTGAATTGGGAAAAGCTAAAGCTTTTTCACTAAAAACTGGAACAAGACAAGGCCGACCGCTCCCCCTGAGAGGTGATGTCCCTCTTTTGTCTCTTTGTCTCTCTCTGTCTCTCCAGTGAGTATACGCACCCTATTGCAAAAATCTCTCTCAAAAAAAATAAATAAATAAAAATAAAATAAACACCCCAATGAGATACCACCAGAATGACTAAGATTAAATATAAAGAATGAAAAGTGCTGGAGAAAAGGGAACCCTTCGACATTGTTGGCGGGAGTGTAAATTAGTACAGCCACTGTGGAGAACAGAATGGACATTCCTCAAACACCTACAAATAGAACTACCATATAGTCCAGCAATTCCATTCCTGGGTATCTACCCAAAGGATAGGATGGCACGCAGTCGGAAAAACTCTTGCACATCTATGTTTATTACAACATTATTCACAATAGCTAAGACATGGAACCAACCCAACCACCCCCATGAGTGGGGTCAGAAGATATAAGGTCAATACACATCAAACAACTAGAGAACAAAATTAAGGAAATTATTTACTTCATAATTATGTCCAAAACAAACAAAAAAGTAAAATAAGAACAAATTTGACAGCAGTATTGCTAAACATCTTCAAGACCATTTAAAAATATTACACTGTTTGGATAAATTAAAGAAAGCCAAAATAAATATTAAAAAAAGAAAAACATAATATGGAGAAAGCCCATGGCCTGGTGGTTAAGGCAGCTGGATCCCACATGGCCAACTATCTAGTTTGAGTCCCAGACCTGCTAGCTTGAGAAACACAGGGGGCACGTGGGTGTCCATGTCCAAAATCCCAAAAGGAGGAAAAGATGGCAGAGAAGGGATCGGTGGCGCGCCCCGGCCCCCTAAACACATCTCTCTCTCTCTCTCTCTCTCTCTCTCTCTCTCTCTCTCTCTCTCTCTCTCTCCCCACCCCCATCTGACTTCCCCTCCTCTCTCTAGTGAGAACATGTGCCCTCTTGCAAAATGTCTTTAAAAAGACATAGTATGTGCTTGCTATGTACTTTCTGAATCTAGTGAATGTACCTACTACATTTCAGGTGCTGTTCTAGTCACTAGAGATAAACTGAAAGTGCAGAACTGATGAAGTTAATGATCTAGTCAGAGAGACACAATTTTTTTTAAAAAAAACCCTCAATACATGAGATGCTCGTAATTTCTATGAAAAGAAATAAAACTTTATAAGGGAGTGAAGAATAATGTAGAAAAACTCTTGTATAGAATAGTAGAGGTCTTTTGATAAGAAAACAAATTTGAGCAGAGGCCTGAAGATAATGAGAGAGTGCTCTGTTATATAAATTGGAGACGATAATCGAAAGCAAAGGAATACCATACAAAAGACCTGAAGCATGGCGTGCCCGTTTGAGAGAGCAGAGTAGCTCGTGTCGCCAGAGTACAGCCAAGCGAGCAAGAGGAAGAGCAAATGATGACAGAGGGATGAGGTTTCAGGTTCCCCCATCATGCAGGGATTGAGAATTTTACTGCACACATTATATAAAGCCACAGAAGATGAATGTCAAGATCTGGCACATTTGAACAAAAACTCTGAACAAAGTTTAGAGTGCCAAGAGTAGAAATAGGGAAACAGAAGGCAATGATCCAGGGAGAATAAAGACATTAATTGGGTGTCTTCTGGCGACAGACTGCTGGCACTCTGTGCTGGGTCTTCAAAAAGTTCATTAAAAATATATATTATGGGGGCAAGCAGTTGGCATGGAGGTTAAGGCACTGGATTCTCACATGGCTAACTAAGCAGTTCAAGTACTGGACCTGGTGGCCTGTGTGCACGCATGCCCAAAAATCCCAAGAGGAGAATGGAGGAGGGGGTCTGCAGTGTGGCCATCCTCCCTAGGGGGGTGA